ATACGGTCTGTACAGTAGAAAAACCATTACGCCTATGGAGAGTCCCCACAAGGATATCTGACCAGACTGTGTGTGTCTGTGTGTGTGTCTGTGTGTGTGTGTGTGTGTGTGTGTGTGTGTTTAATGCATGAGTTCTGCTGTTTTTCTGTGCAGGTTTTGTATGCGCTGAGCTCATCGAGGTGAATGCAGAATGGCCAGCGCAGCAGCCAGCGAGAGTTCAGCTTCATCCGCAGCGAACGGACAGACGGCCGGAGAGAGCAGTAACAGCGGCGGCGGCGGAGCTCAAGACAGCACGTTTGAGTGCAACATCTGTCTGGATACGTCCAAAGACGCCGTCATCAGTCTGTGTGGACATCTCTTCTGGTGAGACCCTGCTGAGTGATGCACACGACACTCTCAGGGATGCTGACTGGGTAATAACTGCTCTGTTTTCTCTCCTCTGTCTGGATCTCCTCCTAGCTGGCCGTGTTTGCATCAGGTGAGTGTTCAGTAAGCGCTGATGGTCACGTGACGTGACCGTTGTATGATTCTCCTGACCGTGTGTCTCTGTGTGTTTGCAGTGGCTGGAAACCAGGCCGAACAGACAGGTGTGTCCCGTTTGTAAGGCCGGCATCAGTCGAGATAAAGTGATCCCGCTGTACGGCAGAGGCAGCACCGGACAACAGGACCCCAGGTACAGCTCTGTGAGCGTCATCAAATCATATTTGTGTTGTAGAGCTTAGAAATATGACTGTATCATGCAGCAGGACAAAGTAGACTTTGTCCATCAAGTTCCAAATCAAAAGAGAAAATAAAATAATCAAACGAGACAAACCCATTTGATTTGTTGGATTATACAAAAATAAACATTAATGTGATTTTATATATATATATATATATATATATATATATATATATATTCATTTACTATAGTTACTATTTACATTATTCTGGGAGCAATGATGTTCATACCTCGAATTAAATGTTTACAAAATGTACACAAGTTGGGAAATTAAGTCCTGCATTGAGCTCTTCTCACTCACAAGAGTGAAATGTCAGTCTGAGTCGGGGAGCTGATACACACACACACATGCGGGCG